ATGTGTTATATTATAATAACTTTTTTAACTTATAAATATAACTACTTTAAGCATAAATATATCAATTGAGAAATAATTTTATTTTTTTATGAATTTTAATAAATATTATTATTTTTTATTATTATAAAGATAAATATAATTTATTTATTTCATATATACAATATGGATGTCAAATCGAAGATCATCAAAAGATGATTAATTTGATATATTATATATGTAAACCGATAAGAAATAAAAAAGTTATCAACTTTTCAAAATAAATTTACAATTCTATAGCTAATTGAAAAAAACAAATCAAAAGTAGGGATATATTAGTCACTTAGTAGCTCACTATGTATAATTACAAAAAATAAAGGGTTATATTAGTACAAGTGATATTAAAATACCTAAGTTAGCTAAATATTATTTATAGAATGTTCGAACCTAGATTATTAATTATTAATATATTAATATTATTTGTTCAAATCTAATTACGAAGCATGATTCTTCGCCAAGTAGGATTCTGAAGCACCAGAAGCAGCCACGTAGGCTCAGCGCATTCGAGAATTATATATAGGGGTGATTATTACTTATTAGTAATTAATATTAAGTTATTATATTAATTATTAGTATTATGTTATAAACTGTTAACATTAAGATATTTTTTTTTCTAATTCCTTATCGGTTCGGTTCGGTAAAACCGAACCTTTATGGTTTCAGAACCGATAATCGGTTACCGTTTTAAATGAGTCGGTACGGTTTGGTTTTTTTGTCGACAGTTCGGTTCGGTTCTATTCAATTTTCGGTTTTCGGTCCAAAAATGTCAGCTTTATATTATATACCTTTGTAGATAATTCTCCTGTTTGAAAGTTCCTGTGTAAACTGAGTAAGCATCTGTAAACTGAGTAAGCATCGAGTTTACGTAACATCCTGCAGCCAGTGCGAGAGCGAGAGCCTAAGGGGGTGCTTGTTTACAAATTTCACCCACAAACAATTCATACTCAAAATCTAGTTCAACTTTAACTCGACATCACTATCATTAATATTATTCATATAATTAAATAATACAAACTAACCGTTCTTAGGCATTACATCAACTTTAATTCACTATACATCTACTCACATAATTTTAAGTAATTATCATTTCACATCATATTTTTCTTACTTCTAAATCAAATCAACTTTAATTATTTAATTTTTAAATATTATTTTAATATCACTAACAACTAACTATTCCACATTTTTTTCAAAGCTAACACTGGCTAACTAAACAAGCACGCAGAGAAGTATAATTTTATCATGTCACCATAGTAGACAAATAAAGCAAATCGATTACACTTTATTGGAGTCATTTACCAATACACAACTAATGGTACACATATATACACACACCCCTTAAGTAAAACTACAGGAAAGGAACAAACAGAAATACCTCGACTACAAGCTCCTCACCTCAAATAATACACAACTATGAGCCTTCATCTCATATGTTTCCAGCTCATCCCCGATAGGAAAACCATCTGCGCTGAAAAACCCGGGAAAAGGAAGTCCTGTGTCCACCAGACGAACCCAACTCCTGCCAACCGCAAGACGCGGGAGAACTACTTTTTCCGATCGATCACCGCTGTTAAAAGCAACAAATATGTCACCACCCACATAAGGTGGTGTTGACTCGCCGGTTTCCTCATCACCTTTCAAAGTCAATGACAAAAATTTGCATGACGGGTCATCCCAATCTGGGGTGGAATCCTCAACTCCACGCCATTCAATGCTACCTTCCTTCATGAAGCTGCTCCTCTGAAAAAAATCACATTTCTTTACTTTTAACGAGCTCAGAAATGAAATAAACTGCATCATTTGAACACCAAAACCCGATCTCAAAGCATTCCAGTTCAAAGGTTTGCGGTCGGTATATGAAAGGGAACCCCCGGAGGATAGGCCACATTCGTCACCCATATTAAGCACCGGCACGCCCAATGAAATAAATAAAATAAACAGATAGTTGCGAATCTGTTTAAGCCGTCTCTCTAACACAGCTGTGTTGTTCGTAGGGCCCTCTTCCCCACAGTTCCAACTGCACTCGGACTCGAGTCCACCAGAGCTGAAGCTAACTAAGTCTACTAGAGTAAGTCCGACATTTCTAGTAATAAAATTGAGACAAAACGACGGGCCACGGCCCCTCAAAAAGATATCCCCACTGCCACAAAGTCGAGTGGCGAGATTGCTAATAGGACCCTGACCCCTTAAAATGTTCCTCACGTCCACACAAAATTTCGTGTTCATCTCCGCCCATCTCTTCCAGTGGGGGAAAGCCATTTCTTTTGCATTCATGTCGTGTGGGTCCCAAGAGTCCGCTATGATCTTGACTTTTGAAAGCAAAGGGTCAAAGGCAATAGCTTCCACCAGAGGAGGGCGGGAAAGAAACTCGCCACGGGAACCCTTAGTCAGAGAAGATGCATTAATGAAACAGAAGCCGTCAATGTGAAACTCGACTGCCCAGTATCTCAGACTCTCTAAGATCATTTGTTGAACAACTGGGTGATTGCAATTCAAAGCTTCTTGACAATTCAAGTCCTCGCCTATGTTAATACTGGAATAAGAACTGTCGATTTGTTTTAGTTGTCCAAACTCATTAGCATGTGTGAGCACAACTTCCAGAAAGACCTCGATTCCATTTGCATGCAGCTTCTTAACCATCTCTTTCATGGATTTGGAAACAGTATCGGGATCGCCTGAAGATCCATATAAGCTTCTTGGAGAAAAGAAATGCCAAGGGAAATAGGGTCCCTTTAGTTCATCAAATGGGAAGATCGGCTCTAACAAGACAGCATTAACACCAAGACTCTTGAAATGACCCAATCTCTCAGAAATACCAGAGAAGGTTCCAGCAATTTCACCAGGTAACTTACTGGATTTATCCACTGTAAAACGTGTAACATTCAATCTGTAAATAATCAGTTTTTCCATTGCTATGCTAGGACGAATGTCGTCACTCCAATCAAATGCAGGCTCCTTACACAGTTTTCCTATAAAATTTCGAGGCAAATCCGACCCGAATTCATCAATAACCCTAGCATATGGATCCAATAGTACTCGAGGCCCTTCTTTATCTGTACCACTTCTGCATCGATAACCGTAGCCCACAAAGGGAAAGGAACAATCTACCAAAGCATGCCAAATATCACCTGTACGGTTGACATATGGATCAAGATCAATCTCTAAAGTGGGTTTGTCCTCCTCCGTGTTTGCATATAGACACAGAACAACACTTCTCGCACTGCGCGAAAAAAATGCAAAGTTAATGAATCCGTCATCTGAAAAAGAAATGCCCAATGGAAAAGGCCGGCCAGAGCCAAAACCTACAGGGACAATGAAATTTGTTTTCCTATGGGTTCTGATTGTTGATATTCCTGAATCAGAACCTGCATGGAGCTTCAACAGGATTGAGACATAGAAAGGCGTTAAACTCTCCTCGAACTCTAACTCGACAGCTAACTTACCACCAGAATCTTTCGCGAACGGGGTCTCAATAGTATTATATTTGTCATCTTTATTGGGCCGTTTGAAGTCTAATGGCATAAAACTTGTTGAATCAGCTCTGAACAGCCCCCAGATCATGATCAGATCTCCTTGTCCTGCAAAGTCCTGTAAGGACTCAACTTCGACATGAAGTACATTCTTGTTTTTCTTTCTTTTGACAAGTACCTTCAGCTGGCCACCGGTCTCCATCATAAACCTATAAGTTGCGACATGGTCTGAAGTTTTCACAACAGAAACATCTGAGGTGGCCAATGCTTTGAGGACATGAGTCTCATATGGAATCCTTCGAGTATGTTTACTGAGTTGTGGGTGAAATGTTTTCTCTCTGAGATACAATTTGGTAGAATCACTTGTAGTCGTTCGCCCATACTTGTCGCAACTAGAGGCAAACAACTTGGATGAGGCAAAAGCTTCAATGCTCAAGCAACGTGGTTGCATCACATAAAGTACGGGAACCACGGCCATTTAGGCATAGAGAACGGGTTTATATTTAAACAGCGGAAATTTGATAAAATTATATTCTTGAGACACACAATATTTCTGGCTGAAAACAAGAAAACTGTATTAGCATGGGGCAAAAGTTACCAGGCTCAGATTCGATAAATTGAGTCACTGTCCAGTTCAAAGTACATAAATAAGCAAAAACAGACTAGGCACCAAATTCATACACACATGCTACATGTAATTTGGGAGAAGTAACCCATGAAAAAAGTTAAAAGAAGCTACAACATAGCTAATGTGATAGCTATCTTACACTGTCGTCGATCAAAGACAAATATTTCGCATGATTGAACTGGCCTAAACGCATTCCAAATACATTTCGTTAATCCATCCGGACGAAACCAGAGAAACAAACCCACTGACACCATCAAATTCCCAAATAGCCATAACCAAAATAAGCTGCACACTACGAAAGACCTTTAACCAAAGCACGATCAGAAATCTAAACAACAGAGAAGAACCCAATAAGCTGGAACTAGCAGAAATCTAAAACAATAGCTTTCTAATTTAAACCCGAGGGTGTCCATATTGCGCCCTACTTCTTTCAAAACACTAAACAAAAATAGCTCAGACAGTCGGTGATAATCTCCGATTGGCTGCTGCGAAAACACAACTTCAAAATAAACTACGATTGATTGTCAAGAGTAAATGTTTGCTCCGCAGTTCAAGTTCAAACACAGGCCAAAGGCATTAAGTGAGCTGCAAAAACAAAGAACTCAAGCAAGATGCAATCATGGCGGAAATTGAGATGGGGTTGGCAATCACAAGCGATAGCCCATTTTGAAGCCCGAACGATTGAATCTCTAGCAACCAGTCCAAACTTACCCTGAAAATGGATGATGATGGGCGAGGAAAGTTCACTGATTTCCTCGACAGTGTGACATTGATCCAAGTAAATGATTTATTTTTGTATTTATATTAAGGCCTTATTTTTATTCCTTTTTTTTTTTTTACCCATAAGTATTCTCACGTTCATCCGAGATATCGACGCCGAGCCCAAGCCATCATCTGGCCGAAACATATTATTATTATAGAAGCATTACATTTTAAATTATTCTCAATTTAAAATCTATTTTTTAATTAACCTTTTATTATGAGGTTAAACTAACTTTACTTTTTGCAATAAATATGTGAACCAAATCACCAACTATATGTGAACAAACATATTTTATTATTTTTTTCTTATAATTTATATTTTACTTACTTATAATAAAAAAAAAGTAAATATTTTTGGTAAAATTACATTAATAAGAAAATAAAACTATATAAATTACAACTATGCCAAAGTTTAATAATGATTACTTTCTAAAAATTGATACTTTAAAAAATATTCATTTAAAATATTATTTTTATTAATAATATAAATATGTAATAAATTAAAAAATATTTGAATAATATTGTCTTTATTTAAGCTTTTCAGGATTTTAATTTTTTTTTTTTTTTACGCGAAAGTTGATACCATAGTACATATTCAATTTTTTTATAAAAATAATATTTCCATTACATATTTTTAAATTCACTTATCAATTTTTTAAGATAATCATTGTTAGATTTTTGCATATATATAATTTATATAGTTTCATTTTTATATTAAGGTAATTTTTTAAAGATATCTTTTATTTTTTTATTATAAGTATGTAAAATATAAATTACAAAAAAATATAATAAAAATGGTTTTGTTCACATAATAATTGGTTCACATATTTATGTCAAAAAATAAAGTTAGTTGAGCTAAGTAGGCCTTAGATTGAGAATAATCTAAAATATAAGTCTTCTATTGAGAAAATACTAAAAATCAAACCTTAAATTGATACAAATACGAAAAATTGAGCCTTGTAATGGAATTTTCCCTTTATTTTTTTTTATTAAGTCTTATATATTCAATTAATTTTCTTAAAGATTTCTTAAAAATTTTATATTAAATAATTTTTGTGGACTTTGTTGAACTTTTGATGGATATTTTGACACTTTCTAAGATTTTTATTAGAGATTTTTTAAATTTTTCATCATAGAATTTTGAAACTTATTAAGACTTTTATTAATCAAGCTTGTTTATTAAGCGACCGAAGTGATTTTTTTTTTTACGATCTACATAATTTTAGTTTTGCATTTTTTTATATACACAATCGTATCGAACTTGTTTGCAAAAATATTTATTTTTAACGAAAAACTTTGTAAGATTTTAAGTGTATTGTACGAGCAAGTTGGTCCGAAATATCACGAGCTTCAATGAGTCGAACTCGAGCGAAGTTTTACATGTTTTTATTAAACAAGCACAATCTCAAGCAGGAGTTACTCGTCTCGGGTGCAGTAACACTTATAATGAACCCCGTAATGGTATATTTGTCTAACCATTGATTATTATTATTATTATTATTATTATTATTTTTGTTTAGATTTTTTGCATCATGTTGCAGTATTTAAAATATATATATATATATATATATATATATAGGATATATTTTACAAGACACAAACACTGTCAAAACACATTAATTATATCTTCTAAAATTATCAACAATACTAAAAAATTCCATATCAACAAACAAAATACATATCTTAATACTTGAAAATATAAATTAAAGAAAAAAAAAGAGAAAATAAATTCTTGGCTTGTGTAAACTATACAAACATTTAAATTTTGAAAAGTCAAATTCATAACTCGCAAATTGGAGGATAAAAGTATACACATATAAAGTAATCATGATAAAAAAATAAATAAAAGAAAAAATCACGTTAAATATTCATAATAAAAAAATATACAAGTTATCAAAATGAATTAATAAATAACAGAGTATGAAAGTGATATAAGATATAAAATCGTATACATTAACAAAATAAAGAAAACGAGTTTGAACAAAATCATGTAAGTTTAGCAAAATCTCATAAATATGATGAGATTTCAGATTTCTTCTAGAACTTTATCTTTATAATTTTTTAAAAATGTCTAAAAGTCATATAATATTATAAAGTCTAATAAAGTTTTCCTACTTTTGAATTACTTATGGAGACTCTAAAATTTTGGATATAAAATTTTTTGGTTTTGTTTAGATATTTTTTTTTTTTTTTTTTGTTTGGTTTGGTTAGTTTTGAAAAAGTTGGTATGATTAGTTGTTATTGGTATATTAAAATAGTTTTTAAAATATAATGATTAAAGTTGATTTGATGTAAAGTAAGAAAAAGAATATTTAAAGTGATGTTTAGTTAAAATTATGTGAGTGGATGAATAGTGAATTAAGGTTGATGTGGTGTGTTTGAATGATTGATTGATATTATTTGATTATATTGAAAATATTGATGATAGTGGGGTTGCGTTAAAGTTTAGTTAAAAAAAATTGGTTGAGTTAAAAATGTTTGAATTTTTTTGAGAAATTTTGTATCGATGCATGATTTTAAGGGTGGTGTATTCAATTTAAACTTTTAGAGATTTTTGAAAACTTTAGGGGTAATTGAATATGAATTCAACTAGTAAAAAATTAGTTTTTTTAAACTATAGTTAAGTTTGAAAAAAAAAAGTAGTATGGTTAGTTGTTAGTTGATATATTAAAATAATATTTAAATCAAAATAATTAAAGTTGATTTGATGTAAAAATAGGAGAAAATGATTGGAAGTGATGGTTAGTTAAAATTATGTGAGTAGATGAATAGTGAATTAAAGTTGATGTGATATGTAATAATAACTGATTGATATTATTTAATTATATTGATATTGGTGATAGTGGAGGTGAGTTAAAATTAAGTTAAATTTGAGTTTTGAGTGGGATATTTACTGTACAAATTGTAAACAATCACGCCCTTAAGAATTCAAGTGTATTCGATTATAATCTTTTGAGCAAGTTTACATGTATCCATGTTGAACTCTTAAAGACTTTTATAAAATCTTTAAGGGGGTGTATTTCGTTTGAAATTTCAAATGATATATTGAGGGTTTTTAAATGTTAGACCTTTTAAATTTTTCAGATTTTTTCAGGAATCTTATGAAATATTAAGTCTGGTTGTGGGATTTGAAGTGTGATTTCGTTAAAGTTTTTCTTCTAAAATTCTAACAAATCTTAAAAAGTCTGCCAGGGCGTGCCACACAAGTCGTGTGACTTAGTGGTCATATCCACACGAGTCGTGTGGCTTTTATTCTCAAATTAGCAACCTTCCCAGACAGGGGCATATCCACATGTAATTTGGGGGAGGTCATTGCCCCCACCCCCAACATTTTTTTTATTAAGTATATATAAAATTACATTTTTTTTATTAATCCTCACTTTAAATAAACAAGTTAAGGCTTTTATAATTAACACGCTTACCTTAAAATAGAGAACTCAAAGAAGAGTATCAGTAGAAGAATCTGCACAACTATCCTGAATACTAATTATTATAAATAATAATTAAATATTGTAAGTCTTCTATAAATACGCTTGTATAGAACTTAATACGAGAAATAAATTTAATATGCAGAGCACTTAAGATATTCAATTTAATATGGTGAAAATATATGATATATGCTTATATAAAATTCGAACATGATTTTTTTTCTGTATTTTATATTATACAAGTTCGAGTCAACTATTAATATGTTCCATATTTTGAGATTAAGCAACTCTAATTGCTAGCAAGATTTGGAAGTACATATTTTTTCTATTATATCAACGTGTGATTTTTTTTTTAATTATATTGTTACCGCCTCCCCCACTAAATTTTTTTGGATCTGCCCCTGTTCCCAGACTCACACGATTGTGTGGCTTAATGTCATTTATCACACTATTCATGTGAAAAAGTCGTAGCTAAGTTCCCTTTTTCTCCCGCCACAGACCACATCGTGTGTCCTCTTGTGCACCTCATCTTCGTCATTTTTCATCCCGATTCCATTCTAACGTTTTTTTTTTTGACATATTTTCTTCAAAAACTAGCGACAAAGAATACGTCTATTATAGATTAATAAATCAAACAATACAAGTGCAAAATATAATAGTAAACACGACCAAACGTATCACTCTATTACTTAAAATACATGTAAATATGACCAATGTCATCGAAAAATAACAAGCCATTCGGAGGAAAGCGTATTGTGTTTGGTAGAGATTTCCAAAAGATCTTCTCTGTCATTCTAAAGGGGAGCCGTCAGGAAATTGTGAATGAAACTATTAATGTTTCCAACATTTGGAGACCGTGTTGAGGCTTACAATAAACGTGCATCTTCATAGCCTTCTTGATTTGGGACGAACATGACGAGCTAGCAGCTTTTGCTGATAGGATTGTGAGTATCGGAGATGGGACTACGTAGGGCTCAAATGCCAGTTGTTCCTCGATTGACATACAAAATAATATATGGTTTGATCTCTCTAATAATCCGATTGCTACAATTGTCGAAAGTACGTACTCAATGTTTAAGAGCATGTTGGAACAAAAATAATATAAGGTCTCTAAAATAAAGAGTTGATAAAAACAAAAGTGGAATAAAAAGGCTTTAAGTATAAGAAATATTTGTGTCGATTTCGAATTTCAACGAGCCGAACTATAGATAGTCATATAAAAATTTTCTTTTTGAGCTTTATCAAGTAGAGTCAATCCCGTCTCGTTAACGAAACGAGGTTTAAGCGAGTTCGTGCTCGACTCACTTATCATACTAGTCGAATCAAACTCGAGCCTTAACAAATCGGCTCGATTCAAATTGAGCACAC